AGTGGCTTTACCATTCTGTCATAGAAAAACTGGCCATTGTGTCCTTTTGGAGGACAATCTCAAGTCACATTTTCTCTCGACATTGTCGAACTGCTATGAAAACACTGTTGCTGTTTGTTGCCACCCACCTGTACCAGCCCCGAGATGTAGCCTTCTTTCCGCCTACTCAGTTTAGAACCGTGCTGACAAAATATAAAACTTCTGCAGCAAAATGACCCAAACCATTCAGAAGTATGGGTTGCAGGGCTGCTCAAATAACTTCTAGACACCATGAGTAAAGGGATTGTAGAAAATTTGCGGTCAGGGTTTCGAAAAACTGGTATGTACCCAATGAATCCCCAGTCTGTCCTCAGCAGTATTCCAAAGGAGAATGAAGAAGATACCGATACCATCAGCGCCTCTGTTTCCTAGATATTCAAGCAACAACCGAAAGAAATGCGTTTTGCCCCTGGTGAGGAAAATATACCACAGCGCAAATAAAGCACTGAACGTCCAGCCTGGGAGAAGAGTCTTGGGTCCAACTGAGTAACTTGTTGCCGGAATTGCGCCTCGTGCCAAACCAGAAGAGAACTCTGCAGCCAACGTTTATCTACATGTTCTCCGTCGGTGATGTCAGTGACAACCGACTAGAAATCTTCCGATACTGTTGACTAGTGTGTTCCACCATCAAACAAAGCCTGTCGAACTCGAAAAAACTAGGTTTACAAAATTGATTAAATAATAAATAATGATATAGATGCGTTCTATAATTTTTCTAACATATACACAGTGGCCTATCTTGCTCTTGTGTTGTGTAACAATGGTTCTATGTACGTGTTGTCATCATGGCCAAAGTATCCCGTTTAAGGGGCACTTCGGCCATAGTAGACATTTTAAAACAACTGACTTATGGGTATAGAAGCGCATCAATCAATATTTTCCACTGCATTACAACACTATAGCCCATGAACAGATCATTTAAGAATGTTATCAAAAGGACTAATAAATGTGTAGTACATTCCAAACAAAAAGTGGAACAAAGTTACTCGGTTTTACGGTATTGAATTATCTGGCACGTTTACTTAATGACCCAGTGAAAGTCAGAAACATGCTGCGCGAGTGCTTGCTGGAGTGACAATTGTGTAAATATTCCATTTCTCTCCACACGTATGTATATTATGTTGCTATTATCCCCCAGTATGTCCGCAGTTATCGTATAACTTCTGAAAATGAACCCATTAAGGTTCATAAAGCTTATTTTAGCTTGTCTCGTAAGCGTTGTTCATCGTGAGTAAGAGTACTGAATTGACAAATTGTTACGGCTCGGTGGTTGTAATGAACAGAGACATCAACCGAGCAGCCTGTCGTCTTTTCAACAGATGACTTAGTCGGAACATGATGACCGAACTCTTTATGTTTCTTATTTTGCAGCGCTTTTGGACATTCCAGTGTACAATAGCCGCGTACATTCACTGCACCTGCTGTTCTCTCTGTATCTGGAGTTTAAAAATTCACAGGTGAGCGAACTACAAAAGCGTGCTATGCGACTGTAAGCATGTGCAGGTATAAAAGAGTTGGGATGCAGTATGTACGTGAGTGACAACGAACACTCACGCTATGCGTCCATTTCGAGGAAGTAATCAACCGCAGACTGGCAACAGCAAGTTGTGGTGGATCCAGTTGCTTTGACCAACACGAAATTACTCACAGTACAAAAGCATAAAGGAAGAAATGAAACTTTATAAACAAACAGATAAATTCAATGGATCAATTAGAATCCAAGCGCCAAATTGCGATAAAACCAGTTAACGTGATTAAAATGATTTACAACAGTAGCACAAAAACAGCGAGAGGACGTAAACAAACGAATAACAAGTCAAAAGAAATAAGTCACGCATAATCGTGGGATAGAGGATCAATAGACAGAAGCTGTGGAAGGAATGTAATAATGCCCTCTCCTTGCGCCAAGTAGTCGGCATGGGAAGGTCGACAGATGTTTTCGGTGAATTCCTGCATGTTTCCGTGGTACGTCCGCGGTTAGTTGCTCGGAAGCATAAATCAGAAAGGGTAGCATTTCGGCTGGCAAGCGCAGGGTTGCCAACATGGGTGGTTCAGGTTTAACAGAAGATCCACTGAACTACGGCGGAGTTCTCTACTAAACACTAGACGGTGGAAATGCAAACTGCTCATTCAGTGACCTCAACAAATGGAGGCGATGCTTTGAAGGCGTACGATGGCCCCGTTTCCAGCGTCCATGAAAACGCTAGTTATACTGGAGCATTATACGACCTACACCGACGAAGGGGCTGGTGTCTCACTGAATCCTCAGATAACCGAGGCTGTGCTAAGTCCTTCCATTACTTCAATATTGAAAAGAGAATTCCTCAGTGAAATGGCCACAGGACGTTTCCCCGCTGGCAACCCCCAATGTCCATCAGCATCAGAGGTTATTCAGCTGAATAAACGTTGATTGAGCAGTGGTTCGGTGATAGGGAGTGGTGGTGTTTCATTCCATTGCTGCGCCGGCATCCAATGTTGTGTAAGTGGGTCAGACGGACTTAGTGCAGCTCTTAATAAGTCAGTCAAGTCAACAATGTGCTTTGCACACCTATGAAGGGTCAATATATAGCTCTAACAAACACGCCACTGACAGGGATAAATAAAGAAAAGGAATAGTACATTAGGAAATATATAAAACCACAATCGTTAAAGACTTGACAGAGAAAATATCATTGGAGTAATTTACTAACCAGTTTTCGAGTGTTTCGGTGTGGCTCTCTCCCATCCCTACATTCCACGACCGACGGTTTAGACTCATCAGGTAGAGATAGCCGAGCTGGGAGTGGAACTCGGTGCAGAGTGCTTGGCGGCTATCGCCATGATTGCTGGGCCATTGTGCTTCGCGAACAGTGCTTGACACTGCGGGTGATCCAAAACCCGAAAATCAGTTCTTGAGTGACTGACCTTTTATTGTTCAAAAAATATGACAGGCAAGGAACTACTGATGTACCATAGGCCCTTGTGCAGGTGTATATAGTTTCGTAGCTCTGTCTGGTCAAGGAGATTGATACGCATTCGGACAACGCCCTGTGGAGGGGTGGCTAACATCATCACTCAAGTATCTTAGATGCAAACTTGTTACATGAGTTTACATGGCTAGCTACAATGATGTTAACAATTTACAGCCTAGAAATGACACTAAACCGGGATAGCTGCTTTACTAATCTGCTAATTACTTTGTGGTCCTTACTCAGGAGACCGGAAAGGATCATGAGAGTGCACTAAGTCCAGTAAGGTAACACACATGCAATGATAAAACGTTGGATCAAAAAACGGAGCACGGAAGAATACCTGAGATGTATAATGTAGTATGAGTCTCCTAACTTTAGTGAATGTTTCCTTCAAGTGAAGGGACCATGTAAGCCCACTGTTCAATATCAATGCCAGGTAGTATACTAAAGTTGTAGTGCTCAGACATTCAACGTCAATGCAAAGTTGCGCATACTGCATGAAAATTTGCTGGTAGCGAAGGACACCCTTGCATTTTGATGTGTTTAACGGTAGGTAACGGGATTTTGACCAAGCTGAGGTTTTCCAGGAGGGTTTGTAGTTTGGACAATGACTCTGCTTGAATGATGGACGTCGAGAATTAAGTTGTCAGTATACTTTGGCAAGATGGCTTATTCAGGGACGGGGATAAAGGTAAGTGGAAAATAAGAACAGGGACAAAATAGCTCCGTGAAGTGGTGAGATAATGTTTTAAAAGAACAACAAAAGTTCGAACTCCAGAACCTAATAGATCGCGTAACAGTGGTTTAGGGTTCATACATCGGAAAGCGTTGTTAACATCCAGAAAGCAGATGCGGATGGATTTGTTTCTATCATCCAGTGACGAGAGCACAGTATGCACCATCATGCTAAGGTGAACCTTGACCTTCGAGATGCAAACTGATGAAGGTCATCCAAATGGATCTACGCTGACATACTTTTAGGAATAAGCATCTCAAATATCTTTAAAGCAACCGGCGTGCAAGTGATCGGCCGATGTTTACAGATTCCCTTCTTCAGCACTGGCGCAATCCTTGCGTTTCGCAATTATCGGGTATCTTGTGCTGCTTGAAGCACAGTGTGTACAAGTCGGTGAGAGGCTGTGCCAGGTAATTTGCACACTCCTTGTGAACGACAGCAGCCAAGTATCTGGGCCAGGTGTCATGTACATTTGCAACCCAATTAATTCCGTGTACTTCTAGGCTGTTCACAGAGATGGTTAGCTAAGATCACCTGTAACTCAGCAGAGGATAGATCAAGGAATGAAATACTATCCTGGTCACAAAAATGGAGGTTTAGTTTTTCCACATCCAAAGTGGAATGCGTGATCTTGTGGGTGACTCCGCTTAATTGTTTCAGCATTTTCCATATTTCACCATAGTTATTGTTTCAAAGTATGACTTGAAAGTATTTATGATTGAGGCGAAACAATTACATTTTTACATCAATCGATAGAGACTTTACTGTTGTAATGACTTTGGGTCGAAAAGCGTTTTCTTTTAGCCTACACAATCGTTTCAGACGTTGAGACGAGAATCTACGGGACGAATAGAAATTGTTTCAATTGGGTAACCTGTCTGAGCAGAAGTTTAAGTAACTATTTAACTGGCCACAATACATCGCTACATCCGCATGGTAAAATAAACTAAAATATATGGTGGCAACGATTTCACGTAGTAGCTGAATGTTCCGCGGAAGACATTGTCGCCGACTGAACTTTCGATCTTTGCAACGGGTGAGATCATTATAGATAACGGGAGATAACTTTACGAAGGCATGATCAAAGCTTTCAAAGTGGCACCGGATTACAAACAGAAAACACTTCCAGGTTGCTAACAAATACCATGTCAAGCGTTGTAGCTAACCTGATTGCAGATTACACCATGCTCTTTAGCTTAAGGCTCGCAATGAAACTGGTGTCAGATCTGTTAAAATCGCCAGCAACTATGCACAAGGAGTGTTCCAGGCATTTGGGGACCGCAGCTGTAAATCCATCGTAAAATTCTTCGACTTCGTAGCTTAGACAGCAAACAATAAAATCGAATGATAACCGTTCAGCAGTACTGGTTTGCATTTCACGATTAGATGGCTGATGCACTGCGAGCTGTATTGAAAAATGCTTTTAATCGAGGTGCATTACGAAGAATGCATGTAAATGATAACGCCGCCACCTCAGTTCCTCTGGGTACATTGGCGGTCAACACGAAAAGAATTAAATCCGTCAAGTTCCACAAGTAAATCCTCAACATCAACGTGAAGCCAGGTTTCCTGTGCACAATGATGCCCAACCGAGAATATTCACAACATTTTATAACACTTTTGTGGTCTTGTTGTTCCAAGTAGAGATAGAACATTAGCAATGAGTAAAACAGGAAGGCTCATACTTCCGAGATGTTTGTTTCGAAGTGTAACCCCTCATCCTGCGCGGTGATTATGCGTAGAACTGCTTTGCCTCTTGCTGCTTCGTTTATTGTGGTTCGTATGGCTTGACCAGGAAAAAGTGTCCAATTCATATGCGTAAAAACATGCATATTTCAAAGTACCACGAATGAAGATGAAAGGTAGAAAAGTTAAAACAAGTGTTTTGAGGCACTGCCAAAAAAGCGTGCGTGTTAGCAAATACCCTGGATAAGAAGTATAGAGTACGGCCAAATTTGGAGGCCCCGCTGTTGCTGGTTAGTTATCTTATACAGCTTTTCATCCAGAATAAGTGGCTAACGTGCTCATTCAAGACAGTTGCTACTTGAGAGTGAAACAGAGTAGACTGGTTTCGGTGAAAGGATAGTTTCGTGTTAGACGTCGAGTACGGAGGATACCGTATTGCGCACCGAGCGTGTGCACATACAGGATGATAAGTTCACCGTTACTATCCGTAGCATTTAGCCACCATGAGAATCAAGAAACTGTTGAAGGCTGAGTGTTGTACATAGTTAAAACACCTACGAGTGCACGGTTTATACTACAGACGCTGTAAGTAGATTTTGAATGCATAAATTCGTCGACTCTTTTTCATTCCAGCACTTCAGACAAAATGAAAACCCTACCAACGTGCCCGGATGAATCGAACTGTGATCAATCTAGCAAAACTCATCCCGCTGTCTCAATCACCCCGTTCGTTTTCACTAAATAGTGTTAATCCAGAACCGAGTTCGCCACCATCGTAAATTGTAACTAGGTTTATTTCCCTGTCAACAATAAAGTAATATAAATATGACTACTACGTGTTATCGTGCTTCTCTCAGTTATCTCATTCAATGCGGCGAGCGGACAAACACTGGAATATGCCAATGTAGTCGTTTCAAAAGAGTAACGGGTTAGACAGGTACGCAGTGACCTCATAAGTGAGGTCCCGATAGCAAGTCAGATAGTTCTTCACCCAAAATATTACTGCCTGTGTTATGAGATATGTTTGTTCTGATCTTTCAAATAACGTAATATTTCACACACTAGTCTGAATCCGGACCTATCTTTGTCGTCTTCTAATTTAGTAGCCATGGGCCCCTGACCTGTAAACTCAGCATATACCAGGACCTCGGTTACGAAAGCCCCACGCACAATGGAAGTGAGCACGCACAACTAGCGAAGAATCGCCCTACTTCGGTTCACGGTCTTACGTCGAAGCCCGCATAATGGCTCCAGAATAATGAAGTATATTGAAACAGAGCAGACAATCTGCAGAAGGCTAGCAAAATAGGTTAAAAAAAGCATAGATACAAGCGCTCCGGAAATGCAAACTCCACTGGTTTATTATCGCGTTCTCTCTCGGTTTATTTGGGAGTCTAGCAAGCAATGTATCGGGAAAAGGCTGTTGTTTTGCAGTATCAACGAAACTATGAATCCACTCGTCGTTAGGTGTGGTGCGCTGGTGAAACGCACCACCGCATAAGAGATCAGCGAACGCTGCACCACCGTTGGAAATAATAGATGTTGCCGAAGAAGAGAAACTCATGAGCCGTCGTCCCGCAGAAGTCAGCTTGGTCTTGCTGATGTGTCTGGCGATGGAACCGTGGTCGGAATGACTTGTTTGGTCAAGCCAGATTATAAAGCAGTTCAGAGTGAATCGACATCATCGGGTAAAAACATTGGACCAACAAGTCGAAGTGTCTTCGAAGGATAGTGAGATGAATGATCGATGAGAAATCACGAATCCATCTCGATATCAAATTAGCTCGGTGCATGTACAGCGCAATCGGCGACTAATTCCACCAGGGTAACGGCCAAGTCGGTCATTCCTGGGGCATCTTCTAGATTGCACAATACGGCCACACAAATTGGAGGCAGTTGGGAAATTTGAGAAGCCAAATCGACACTGCGTTCTTGCCTTCGCTCTGAGTAAATTTCGCAAGGTAAGCTGAGTAAAAGCACCGTAGTTCCACCCACGGATCCGCCGCTGTGTGCCACATATAGACGGTCAGGTAGTGTGGTTGGTTTAGTGATCGGGTTTCCAGAGCGTCTGTGTAGAAAATGATAGAGAAGGCTATCTGAAACAACCGAGGTTAACATTAAGATAGATCACCATGGTCACCATCGATAACCACGGAAAAAACTAAAGTTCCACGAGACTGAATAAAATACCGACATCGAGCACTGCGCACAGGATGCCTTTGGCTTCACGGGTCCAACAATAACCAATTAAAGCATATCATCAGCCGTTTCCATTCAAAAAGTATAAGATAGCAAGAACGAGCAACATTTGAGCGGGATAAGCTGAATTCAGCTAATTTTGTGTCTTCTCAATCAACCGCGTACAGAAAAAGTGTGGAACGAGTAAAAGAAAGCAAATAAAAAGGGATCAATAGAGAAGTCAGTAAGATACCGGGAGACTCAAGGTTATCGGCTGTAATGACGAAAAACGCGCATTATCAGAGCAAGGCGAGGCTAAACAAAAAGTCGGGCTGCTTGCATAGACTAGGCTTCAGTTGTCGGATGACGTAAGACGCCGCAAATCGAAGCAAGCTCGGGCTATTCCGCCGGTTGACAAACTTGAGCGCGATTATCCCACACAAAGGTTGTTCGTTGTTGCTATCGTAAAACTGAAGGACAATTACGAGAAACCAAGGATTTGGTCCAAAAGTGGCAACAGAACGCAAAAAGTGGGCGTAGCGGAGAAGCGTCATTGGGCAGTAAAACAGTGGCTGCCTAATCGCGAATCTCCAGTCGGAGAGACAAAAGATTAAGCGATATACGCAGTTGGTAAAATAATCCGGGTAAACTGTTTACTGACTGGATGAATAGCAACACTCGATGCAAACAGCATCGCACGAGAAGGTAGCCTATGAAAGTAGAAAAAGTAACCACACTGAGAGTGTGCTAAGCGAACGCATTCCAGCACAAGATAACCATAGTATATTTAGAGATTAGGGTAATAAACACAATATTAAACATGGTACAATAATAATAAGATAACCTCTTAAGTACGGTATAGTGGGCGGTGACGCAAACAGATAAGTGCCGCTCGCGGTGTAATGAAGGAGTTAGCGTTTCGTTAGATTTTGGAATTTGTAATCGGGCGAAAGAAAATAATGCATTAATAAAGTAGGCGAAAACTTCGTAAAATGTTAACTCGTAAGTTAGGAGCAAACTGGAGAATCGAGGCTTTTAAAGAGAAAAAGGAGGATATTGAAGCGTACCGAGACAAAAACCAACCCAGTCCAGGCTGCCACGGGCTCTCAGGGTTCATCACGGACACCTTCCATAGATCCAGCAAAGTCTTCCGTTTCACCACGCCCTCAGTGGGAATACAA